CCTGCTGCTCTAGACCAGAGGTAGCCAACCTGCGGGGCCATGGACCACTCTGCCACCTGGTCCCAACACCATGTCCTCTGGAGCTGCCTCTGCCATGGGTGTTTGTCTGGTGAAGTGGTTGGAAGTAGCTTGAGATTTGCTGGGAAATAATAACTCAGATGGCAATATTCTGCTCCTACTCCCAGCATTTCTGGGCTCTTGGAGAAGAGATGTGACCGTGCAGCAGATCTGGCTGTACAGAGAGGCTGGATCTGGAGGATCTGGTGAAGGTGGGTGGGCTCTGTGCACAGGAAACCTGGGCAGTGTTCTAGAGGATCACTCATTTGTGAGGATGCACTGACCAGTTAAACTAGGTTTAAAGCTGCTTTGAGTGACCTGAGGAAGACAAATCACGGAAGTGTTTGTTTCAGTTCCCTCTGCCCTTCACCTGTGCACATACATATTCCAACCTCAGCTTTTACTTCTTTCCCTCTACCTCAAATTCTTTAGTTATGAGTAACCTATCACTACTTCATTTTGACGATCTCACTCTGTATAAAATATGTTCATGCTCTCTTGAAAGCAGACCTGGGAAATCTCATGTTTTTCTGGTTTGTGAAGATCTTCCTGAAGACAGCTGTGTATGTTGTATGCTCTTTAAGCAGGAAGTAATTAAGCATCTAACCTGATGTCATACGTTATGCAGTGATGCACTCTGAAAGTTTGAGCAAAGCTGATTAGCCACAAGTTTGAAATGAGTGATTCCAAAACACGAAACAGATGTGCCCAATGATTAATATGTGGTGTGCCTTTTACCCCATTATTTCTACCATTATTATGCATCCAGGCTTTGATCACTGTGATTTTCTTAGAGTTGATGTTGGATCCTCCTCTGCAAAGTCTCATTCTGTTGTTTGGTTTATTCTACGGGTTTTCAGAAATGCCTTCACCATTGGTTCAGAAATACTACACTAAGTCAGGCACAGGCGTATTTACCTTTGTGTTGTCCCAACTTGCTTGCAGCAGAGCTAAGTAATGCAGGAGTCATCAGAAACCATTTGTGTCTGTCCTGTATCATCACTCCAAGCTGTGCTGCTAGCAAAAGGTTACTCCTCTGATGCTAACCCCACCGTGGGAAAATTGCCTAAATTGTCAGTGGAGACACCACCCAAGTGCACATGCCCTTGCAGATAAGATCTTGTGTGGCTTCCTGCACTTGGTGCTGTATATGGAAAGAATAGTCATTTTTAGATGAGACAGAGCCAATTGCATTCAAAACAAGTAGAGAGGATCAGGTATTGGTGCAGGGTGCTGTGGGCTTGTGTGTTCACTTCAAAACACTCCCTATTTTCCCATACTCTTGTTTTTGCAATCGCATGACTAGAAGAGTGGTCTGGTGCTTGTGGCCTGATTGCGTCAAGTTCGGGTGGGTTCCCCCCTCCTTTGGTCAATGCACCTACACACATTTTAGATATAGTTTAAGGTAGTATTGCCCAGCTTTGAATTCTTCCCCGTCCTCACCCACCCCTCCTTTGCTATATTTTTAATGTTTATCCTTGGGAAACAAAACTATTACAAAATGTCCAAATATGGTTTTCACTCTCACCATAATTAAATCAAAGAATGACCCAAAGCTTCTCGAGGACAATGAGAAGACTCATGAACTTCATGGGATTTGAATCAGGCAATGGGTCCTCACCTTTTCTCCTGTACTAAGCAGTGGTTTCATCATGTACCTGTCCCATGTACACTTGGAGGATGCAAGGCAAGAGAGCAACCTTTCCCACGTTTCTGTTATGATCTGGTGCAGGAAGGTGTTAATAGAGGTTAAACACTTTTATGTGTAGCAGTAATGTTAATTCTTTGCTGTTACTGCATTACATGCTGGAAACTCTCTATGTATGAAATGTGTTTTTGTGAAAAGGCCACTTGTACCACCAGTCAGGAATATACCAGTCAAGTGCTGGGTTCAGTTTTGGGCCCCTCACTCCAAGAAGGACATGGAGGTGCTGGAGCGTGTCCAGAGAAGGGCAACGGAGCTGGGGAAGGGTCTGGAGCACAAGTGTGCTGAGTTCCCTTGTGGCTGAGGGAACTGGGGGTGTTGAGCCTGGAGAAAAGGAGGCTGAGGGGAGACCTTCTGGCTCTGTCCAAGTCCCTTGGAGGAGGGTGGAGAGAGGTGGGGGTGGGTCTGTTCAACCAAGGAACAAGTGACAGGACAAGAGGAAACGGCCTCCAGTTGTGGCCAGGGCAGTTGAGATGGGATGTGAGGAAGAATTTCTTTGCTGAAAGGGTTCTGAGGCATTGGAAGGGGTTGCCCAGGGCAGTGGTGGAGTCACCTTTCCTGGTGGTTTTTGCAAGATGGGTAGACTTAAGGACATGGTTTAGATGTGGAATTGGCAGTGTTGGGTTCATGGTTGGACTCGATGATCTTAAAGGTCTTTTCTAACCGCTATGATTCTATGATTCTGTTCTATAACATGTTCTCTTTGTGGTTTGAGGGAGGGTGAGCAGACCCTGACAATCTGACAATACATGAGCATGCACCAGAGCTGCTCCATGTTCCTGCGTCATAGCTGGGTTTTTTGCTCTTTTCAATCAGCTGGTGACACGAGGGAGGTATCTGCTGCTTCAGACTTTTGTTGCCCTGCTGATCTAATCTGAGTCTGAGGATCTGCAGTTGGATTAACATGATTACCAGAGTCTTCCAGCACAATTTGGAGAATGCAGCACTGCCTATGGGGAAATGAGTGTTTCTTGATGGGGAGGGGGATTCTCACCGTCTCAGTTACAGCAAGCCGTCTGCCCCATTAAAGTGTTTGTTTTCTAACTACAAAATGAGTCTGCGAAGGAGGTGTTGCTTTTCTGGAGATCTTATCGTCTATAAACAGACTATTAAAAATAGGGTCGTTTTACACAAAACTTGTTTGTGGAGCGAAACAATTCAAAACATGATAATAACAAAACAAAATCTTAAAATAGCTCTAAGTTGAGACCACAGATGCAGCTGCCAAACACTTTCATCTTTATTACAGTTACTCATATCTCTTCTCTTATTATTCCTATTGTAAACACGCTGATTTTATCTAAGTTGTCCTGCTATTCAGCCAGCGAGCCCATGTAACTGCACCCTGTAATCCAGCCTGGTTGGTTGTTCTTTGGACCCAGGTCATGCATCTCCTTCCACCTTTGCCTTTGTGGATGGACGAGGCTGCTGCCCCGCTGCTGACCATGTTCCACTGTGGGAAGTTTCTGCCAGGAGCACAATTTATCTGACTGCTCTGTCACCTGCTTTAGCTGGATGATGTTAAAATGATGTTAAAAACCAGCTTGTGTGATTT